GGGCTAGGTACGGGCCGGGCTCGGGTGTCGACGGAGCGCGGGTGTTGACGGAGCGCGGGCTAGGTACGGGCCGGGCGCGGGTGTCTACGGGGCGCAGGCTACGTACGGGCCGGGCGCGGGTGTCGACGGGGCACGGGCTAGGTACGGGCCGGGCGCGGGTGTCGACGGGGCGATCGCGGGCTAGGTACGGGCCTATCGCGGTCTAGGTACGGGCCGGGCGCGGGCGTGAGACTGGGCCGGGCGCGGGCTAGGTACGGGCCTATCGCGGGCGAGGTACGGGCCAGGCACGGGGCTAGGAAAGAGGTAGGCGCAGTAGCAGGTGGTGGGCCCAAAAGTAACCTACTCTGATTCCATGTTAGAATGTCGAGAGAGATTCTGTACCCCCTAAGGGGGGAGTACTGGAGGTACTGGAGCTGCTGGAGCTGGTGGTGCTGCAGGAGTTGGAGCTGCTGGAGGTACTGAAGCTGGAGCTGCTGGAGGTACTGGAGCCGCTGGTCCCGGAGGTGCTCGTACTAGAGGTACTGGAGCTGCTGGAGCTGGTGGTGCTGCAGGAGTTGGAGCTGGAGGCACTGGAGCTGGAGCTGCAGGAGGTACTGGAGCCGCTGGTCCTGGAGGTGCTTGTACTGGAGCTACTGGAGCTGGTGGTGCTGCAGGCGTTGGAGCTGGGGACCCTGGAGCTGGAGACATCGGAGTTGGAGGCGCTGGCCTTGGGGGTGTTGGTGCTGTTGGTGCTGGTTCTGGAGACACTGGACGGCCGCGACCGTACTTCGTTCCCCTGCTTCAGCAGGTTCTTGGTCTCCCGTCTTCTCCTCGCCTTACTCTTCCCTTACTGTGTCCACCGCCTGACCAGTCCCAGCCGCCGTTACAGTCAGCCTCCCCACTGCCTGCTCCTTCTCCCTACACTAAGCAGACTGGAGGACTTACAGAGCGCCGTGAGCCTGTGTCTCGTCCTGCCTCGCCTGTTCGCGCTGTTCGCGCTGGTCGTCGTGTTCCTGTCCCCAACACGCACCATATGACACTTCGTCCTTCCTCTGTTCCACAGCGTTTCCCCCTGCCGTCTCCTCCTGCGTCCTCTCTTGCTGACGTTCCGGACCCTCAGTCTAACTTAGTTCGTGCTACCAGTCCTACTGTCCCACGTCTGCTAGCCACTGTTGTCACTGACCCTTCATTTGAGTCTGCTGCTGCGTTTGCTCTAGTTGCTGAGCTTGTTGACTTTGCTGCCGCCTGTCGTCTCGACTACGCCGCTATTCTTATTGCTGAATCTGAGTCTGACTGTCCGCCGTCCGTCGGGGGTGAGTGTGCTCTTGGCACGGACGTCCTTGAGGACAGGCAGGAGGACTTTGAGTGTTTTGCAGCTGCTGTACCTCATCTCGTGTCCATGCTGATTGCACCTGAGGGAGACCCAGATGCACCAGACATCCCGACCCCGCGCTCTTACGCAGCGGCGATTACGGGTCCCTACTCCTCTCCATGGCAGACAGCCATGGATGCAGAGATGGCATCCTGGAAGTCCACAGGCACTTACGTCGACGCAGTTCCCCCTCCTGGGGCGAACATAGTCAATGGCATGTGGATTTTCAGGGTGAAGCGGCCGCCGGGTTCTCCGCCTGCCTTCAAGGCTTGTTACGTTGCACGAGGCTTTAGTCAGCGACAGGGAGTTGACTTCTTCCGGACCTTCTCCCCCACCCCGAAGATGACTACTCTTCGGGTACTGCTGCACGTCGCCGCTCAGCGTGACTACGAGCTTCACTCTCTTGACTTCAGCACAGCTTTCTTGCAGGGCAGCCTGCACGAGGAGATCTGGCTGCGCCGCCCACCTGGCTTCACTGGGTCGTTTCCTGCAGGTACCCAGTGGAGCCTCCGGCGGCCAGTCTACGGTCTGCGCCAGCCGCCTCTCGAGTGGCACGACACACTGAGGACTACACTTGTGGCTCTTGGTTTTGCTCCTTCTACTGCTGACCCGTCGCTGTTTCTACGCACCGACACTTCGCTACCGCCGTTCTACGTCCTCGTGTACGTCGACGACTTGGTCTTTGTCACTGCTGACACTGAGGCACTGACCCTTGTGAAGTCGGAGCTGTAGAAGAGACACACCTGCACTGACCTGGGTGAGCTGCGTAGCTATCTTAGCTTGCAGATCACCCGGGACAAAGCACGACGCACCATCATCCTGACTCGGTCACACATGGTGCACCAGGTCCTTCAGCGCTTCGGCTTCCGGTACTCCTCGCCACAGTCCACTCCTCTGCCTACCGGTCACTCGCTCTCGGCTCCACCTTCGGACGAGTCCGTAGAGCCGAGTGGCCCGTATCCAGAGCTTGTGGGCTGCCTCATGAACCTGATGACCTGCACTCGACCTGACCTTGCCTAACCTCTTAGCATCCTGGCTCGCTACGTTGCGCCCGGGAGACACCGACTAGAGTGCTGGGAGGTCGCTAAGAGGGTGTTGCGCTACTTGTGCAGTACGTCGGGCATGGGGCTCGTGCTTGGAGGACGGGGTCCAGTTGTCCTCACTGGACACGCAGACGCTTCTTAGGTTGACGAATTGGCTACGCAACGGTCGTCACAGGGTTACACTTTCAGCCTTGGCTCCGGCTCTGTTTCTTGGCGGTCTAGCCACTCGTCTTCTGCTCTTAGTTCCAGTTGTGAGGCTGAGATCTACGCAGGGGCCATGGCTGCACAGGAGTTACGCTGGCTCACCTACCTGCTGACCGACTTGGGAGAGCGGCCGCGTTCTTCTCCAGTGCTGTACGTAGACAACAAGGCCATGATTGCCTTGTGTCAGGAGCACAGACTGGAGCACAAAACGAAGCACATCGCTCTGCATTACTTTCTTACTCGAGAGTTGCAGCAGCGTGGTCAGCTTCGTCTTGCGTACGTGGCCACTCGGGCCAACACTGCTGATATATTCACCAAGGCACTTCAGTCTGGTGATCATCAGCGTTTCTATACTGTTTTAGGCCTTGTGCCTACTTTGCCTCACTTGCTCACTACGTGACTTTGCTTGTACTGTGATATATATATATACCTGCATGCTTACACTTGCTAGGGTATGATCACTGTACTGTTTGTTCTCTTTTATATAACCCTGCATGTGAACTGGCCCTGTGGCCTTTGCTTGTGCTTGGAATGTGTGGTGGCTTCGTGATCCACCCTGAGCTTGCCTTGTTTTTCTTGGCTGGTCTTGTGACCACTTGTTCTCCCCCACTTTGCCTACCGTGGTGTGTCAAAATTTTGTATTGCTTACTTTGTGTAGGCTGTAGTGGGGTAGCCCATAAGGGGTACTACCCAATTAGGGTTAGTACTTGTACTCAACTTCTGTTCAATGCATTCATTCTCGTTCGTTATTCGGACACTTAGGATCGTTTTCAAGACTCAAGTCTCAAAGTAGTGATGTATTTAGCGGAAGCGTAATAGTGAACTAATTGAACCACCTTGCACTGGTATGCGAGAACAAGATAAGTTAATAATAGCAAAGAGATACAAAACTTTATACGATTACAAAAGAATGTGAAAGGTTTCACTTACTGTAACTGCTGTTGCGGTTTGATATAGCGACGACTCGGGTAACTGCTCAATAGTGAGTCAGTTATGTGTCCTTGCTGTCGCGCTGCTTTTCGGCGAGTCAAGGTTGCTGACCTTTGACCTTCACTCAACCTCTTCTTGTTGTCTTTCTGTCAACCGCTTTGGTTGACTCGCTGTTGCTTCGCTTCAGTTCGCTTCGTTTTTGTTGTAGTGCTTGACACATCAGAAGCGCTGTCGCTATACAGTATGTTTCCAACATTGTGTCTGACCACTGGTCTTCGTTCTTCAAAATATAAATGAGCTAGCTTCCATTCTTCCATGCAGCAGTTTTGAATATTGCTGCAGTACGCAAGAAAGAGTGCCGCTGTGTGGCTGTCTTTTAGACCAAAATACCGTAGTGGTCTGGCCATGGAAAACAGCATCAAGCTGTGGAAGTCACAGCAAGTTAACGGTAGACTGAAAGTGGCATCCCAAACAGATTGACATGTACCGTACCCTGTCTAGAATCAAGCAGCTCTGCCCAGAGCAGAGACTAGGCCCCTAGATTGGTTTTGGGTTTGGCTGATCCATCAGCCTTCCCCTTCTGACTTGCACATCCCGAGCTCAGAGATCCAACCAAAGCACTGTGACTTGCACATCCAGTTTCATTAGAAACACATGTCTTATCTAAGGGACATCAACCCAACCCACATTCTCCACCGAAGGCAGACAAATCACGGCTGAAGGAATTAAGCACAAACGATGCCGTGCCGCCATGCAACTCCGACAAATTGTGGGGTCTCAGTGGCATCAGCAGGGGGATGATGATGACGTGTGCACGGGTGTACAGAGGCGTGCAGATGTGTGCATAGGTGTGCAGAGCAGTGATGAATGGTGAAAAGGGCGTTTTGAAGTGTGAGAATGGCATCACTCGACAAGTTGGAGTTGGCTCAAAAGGATTTCGAAAGAGAGTCCAAGGACTGCTGTTGCTGCTGCTGTTGTTGCTGCTGTTGTTGTTGCTGCTGCTGGTCTTGCTGCTGCTGGTGTTGCTGCTGTTGGTGCTGCTGCTTCCGCCTTAAAAGCATCTGCTGGTGCTGTTGAAACCGCTGCTGCATCTGCAGCTGCTGCTGTTACTCAAAAGGATTTAGAATGAGAGTCCAAAGACTGCTGATGCTGCTGCTGCTGCTGCTGCTGCTGCTGCTGCTGCTGCTGCTGCTGCTGCTGCTGCTGTTGTTGCTGCTGTTGTTGTTGCTGCTGCTGCTGCTGGTGTTGCTGCTGTTGATGCTGCTGCTTCCGCCTTAAAAGCATCTGCTGGTGCTGTTGAAACTGCTGCTGCATCTGCAGCTGCTGCAGCCGAATCAGCGAATTCACACGAGTCTCTGTCTGCTCCTCTTCCCCCAACTGCTGCTGCTGCATCTGGTGCTGCTGTTCTTGCTGATCCTGCTGCCTCCCTTGCTCACACACTCTCTGCCCTTCCTGCCCTTCCTTACCTTCCCTTACTTCCCCTCCTTCCCCTCCTTCCCCTCCTCCCTCCCACATTTGAATCCTACCATTCTCACCACTGCCCCTACCATCATCACCGCCCCTAACCGTATCTACACCAGCACCAGGTGCCACTGCAGCAGCAGCATTGCCGTTAGCACCACCACAACCAGCACCAGCGCCAGCAGCGGCAGCAGCAGCTGCATCAGGGGTAGAATCAGGAGAAACTCTAGCCTCAGTTGAACCTTCCCCAGTACCACCTACACCAGGCAAACCACCGGCCACAGCACCAGTCACGGCCGCTGCTGCCCGTGCCCTCTCCACAGCTGCCCGCAAAGCTGCCCGAATAACTTCCACCGTAGGCTCCTTCCTGCCTTTCCTTCTCCAATCTGCCCCACTTTTCTCCCTCTCCCTCTCCCTGCTACGGCAGCTCCCACCCCCCTCCACCACTCCCAACCCCCCGGAATTGAGCGGGCTGCTACCACCAGCAGGGGCAGAATGGGAGGAGGAGGGGAGTGGGGAGAGAGAGGAAGGGCGGGAGGAACGCTGCGGCTCGTCGGTTTCAGGGGGAGGGTCCCTAGAGAGGAGCATTTGATGAGTGACTCGGTTGCTGCAGGAGGCTGTTTCCAGTGCTCGCACATGCAGGCGAAGCACCTGTGGCAGGAAGAGGGGTACAGGGGAGCAGGGGATTAAAGGGGAGCATCTGATGAGTGACTCGGTTGCTGCAGGAGGCTGTTTCCAGTGCTCGCACATGCAGGCGAAGCACCTGTAGCAGGAAGAGGGGTACAGGGGAGCAGGGGATTAAAGGGGAGCATCCGATGAGTGACTCGGTTGCTGCAGGACGCCGTTTCCAGCGCCCTCACGTGTAAGCGAAGGACCGAGGGGTACGTGGGTGGGTGGTCCTCTCCTCACCACAGAGCAAGTCATGGGTGGTGTAACTACCAGCATAGTCACACACACTGACACCAGTCACACTCACATCGGTCGCTGTCTTGAGTGACGCCAGCAGGTGTGGGTGGTGCTCACACGACACCACAAAGCAAGTCAAGGGCAGTTTGACCACACATTCACAACCACCAGAGTCAAACTACCATGACAGTCACACACTCACATCTATTGCTTTCTTGAGTGATGCAAGCAGGTTGGGATGATCATCACACGATACCACAAACCAACTGAACTCCTGTCCTCACTTCATTCATCATAAGCAGACCCACTACCACCACATGTCATAGTCACACTCACATCTGTTGCTTTCTTGAGGGATGCCAGCAGGTCTGGATGGTCCTCACACGACACCACAAACCGAGTATAAGTCATGGGCAGTTTGAGTACCACCATTCACTCACCCTAGTCATCACACTCACCCTCGTCTCAACCACACCCGCATTGAACTCACATCTGTTGCTTTCTTGAGGGATGCCAACAGGTCTGGATGGTCCTCACACCAAACCGAATCAAGTCATGGGCAGGGCAGTTTGACAACCACCTTAGTCACACAAGGCCTCACCCTCGCTACAGTCACACTCACATATATTGCTTTCTTGAGGGATGCCAGCAGGTCTGGATGGTCCTCACACCAAACCGAATCAAGTCATGGGCAGGGCAGTTTGACAACCACCTTAGTCACACAAGGCCTCACCCTCGGTACAGTCACACTCACATCTATTGCTTTCTTGAGGGATGCCAGCAGGTCTGGATGGTCCTCACACCAAACCGAATCAAGTCATGGGCAGGGCAGTTTGACAACCACTTTAGTCACACAAGGCCCCACCCTCGCTACAGTCACACTCACATCTATCGCTTTCTTAAGTGATGCCAGCAGGTCTGGATGGTCCTCACACGATACCACAAACCGAATCAGCCCCTCTCCCTCTCCCCTCTCTCCCCCTCCCCTCTCTCCCCCTCTCGTCCCCCCTTCCCCCTCTCCTCCCGCTCCTCCACCCCCCTCTTCCCTACCGTCCCCTTTCCTCCTCTTCCTTCCACCCCCCTCCTCCCCACCCTCACAGCTTCCCCCCCTCTTCCCCCCACCGTTTCTCCGCCCTCCGCCACTCCCCTCCCCACGCCCTCCCGCCCCCTCCCCCCCTTCCTCCTCTCCTCCCCCTCCTCCCCCTTCCCCACCTTCACCCCTTTCCGCCCCACCGCCCTCCCTCACCCCCTCCTCCCCCACCGTACCAACCACCTCCTCCACTTCTAAAACATCCACATCCCTCGGAACCACTCCAAACCCCTTCCCCCCCATCCCTCCCCCCGCCCCCGCCTCCCCTTCCGCCTCCCCCTCCCCCTCCGCGTGCCTCTCCGCGTGCAGAGCTCGTAGCACGTCCACCACCTCGCCTAGGAGTGTTGCTTTGTCCGTCTGGATAGGGGGAAGGCAGGAGAAGGGGGGTGGGGGGATGGGGGTTGGGGGGGATGGGTGTTGGGGGGATGGGGGCTGAGAAGTGCAGAGCTCGTAGCACATCCACCACCTCGCCTAGGAGTGTTGCCTTGTCCGTCTGAATAGGGAGAAGCGGGGGGGGTAACAGGGGAGGGGCGGGGTAGGGCATGGGCAGTTGTGGGTACACTGCCTTTCACGTCTCTCCGCGTGCACTGCTCGCAGCACGTCTACAACCTCTCCTAGCAAAGTTGCTTTGTCCGTCTAAATGAGTGGACGAAGGAGGGGGGGGTTGTGGGCAGAACAGGGGGACTGGGGATAAGTGCCATATTCACACGCCCCTCCTCTCCCCTTCTGTCGCCTCCCCCTCCGCATGCCTCTCTGCGTGCAGAGCCCGCAGCACGTCTACAATCTCGCCCAGTAATGTTGCTTTATCCGTCTGGAGGGGGGGGGAGTAGCGGGGTAAGGAATGAGGGTAGGGAACAGAGGAAAGGAGGATAAAGTGCCCTGCACACGCCTCTTCACGTGCAGCGCCCATAGCATGTCCATCACCTCCAAGGATCAAAATGACGGTCGTTTTTTTTGGAATTTCACCGTAAAATACGATATCTTAATTTACGGTCGTAAATAACGGTAAAATACGGTTTGTGTGTTCATTTCAGAGTCGTAATAAAATACAGTCGTTTTTTACAGCCGAAATTTTGAAGCGAGACACTGTATATCGGAATTTGAAATACTTAACCGTCAACCTGGTAAAATTGAATTCCGATCCCCCCAATCCCGTCAAATGTGTTTTTTCCCCCGAATCGCGAATTTCAGCACATTCACGAAGCGCTACATTTACGCATTTGGCGAACTGGTTTACATCAGTTTACCCGATTCGCTTTGTCGTTTCATTTGTTCGCCGAACCGCAACGAGTTCATTTCTGCGAGGCACGACATTCAAACATTTGGCGAGCTGACACTAATGTTTGAACGCTGCGCGTATTCGTTGAATAATTTCGCGCCCCCTTTTTAGATTTCGCCCGCTTGTGTGACTCACCCCAAATTCGCGTCGCGAGTTGAATTCAGCCAATCGGAGTTGGCCAATGTTCATCCCTCTCATCACCCCTTTCCCAAATTTCACTCGACAATGCACGCCCAGCAACCAGGCCCTTCAGGTACTAATAGTTGCTGCAGTTTTTCTTCAACACATTCCAGAGTTAGAGTAGCCTTACATTACTCACCTCAGCTCAACTTTTTCGCCATGGTGAGACCCTTCTCGGACCTTTGGAAGCATGTCGACAAGGTGACATCCGACGACAGCGTAGTTAGTGCGACATGCAAGCATTGCGGACGCCTAGACTACCTTTGGGCCGCGGTTGTGGCTGAGAACGACTTGGCGTTCAACGTATCCAAGTCAAAGGCTCTTCAGGCGTTTGTGGACGCCGCCCTCATCTTCGCCAAACCGTACACGCTCCCCACGCCGTACAACGTTTCGGGCCCGCTGCTTGAGAAGCTCAAGGCGGATACCGAATACCTTGTTCGGCCGATCAAGGACAGCTGGAGCACTAGCGGGTGCTCCGTCTCGGTGGACGGCTGGACATGCCTGAAATCCCGCGGCATGGTATGCGTGATTGCTCAGAACGACACCGCTCCCGTCATTGTTGATATTGTGGACTCAAAGACGGCGAAGACCGGAGAGTACTTGGCGCCCTAATTCGCAAGTCGATCTCCACGGTGGGGGACAGGAAAGTCGTCCAGGTTGTGATGGACAATGCGTCCAACAACAAACAGGCAGCGGACATGCTTGGTGAAGGGTTTCCACAGGTGTTCTTCACGAACTGCGCCGCGCACGTGCTGGAACTCATGTTGCACGACATGGGAAACATTCGGGTGGTGAAACGCGTCCTATCTCAAGTACACAGGGTGGTGAAACGCGTCCTATCTCAAGTACACAGGGTGGTGAAACGCGTCCTATCTCAAGTACACAGGGTGGTGAAACGCGTCCTATCTCAAGTACACAGGGTGGTGAAACGCGTCCTATCTCAAGTACACAGGGTGGTGAAACGCGTCCTATCTCAAGTACACAGGGTGGTGAAACGCGTCCTATCTCAAGTTCACAGGGTGGTGAAACGCGTCCTATCTCAAGTACACAGGGTGGTGAAACGCGTCCTATCTCAAGTTCACAGGGTGGTGAAACGCGTCCTATCTCAAGTTCACAGGGTGGTGAAACGCGTCCTATCTCAAGTTCACAGGGTGGTGATGATGGTGAAGGGATCCGCCTCTGCCGTCGTATTGTTCAGAGAGGTTTTCAGCACCTTGTCCTTGGTCCGCCCTGGTGCAACGCGGTTCGGCACCCAAGTGATAATGCTCGGCCGTTTCTTGGAGGTGAAGAGGGCGCTGCGGGCGATGGTGATTAGTGAAGAATGGGAGGAGGTGGCGGTGGCACGGACGGAGGAGGGGCGTGCGGTCCGCACGCTCCTACTGGACGACTTCTTCTGGGACTTATTAATGGCAGTCCATCGCCTCATGACTCCGGTGTATGGGGTGCTTCGGGTGGTTGACAAGAGGTCTCTCATCATGGGGGAGATATACGGCCGCATGATAGACGCCACAATCCAAACGAGCGAGGCGGCTGAGGCGGCTGGTAAGCACTATACTGCATTTGGTGCCGTCGTATTTTGATCGCGTGATTTTTGTTTCGTCGTAGCAAACAAGCATCTTACTTGTTTCTGTACTACTCTCTCTTAACAGCTGAACTCTTCGTCAAGTGCGCCACACTGCTGGCGGCCAAAGACAAGGCCGCCTTTCTGACCTCCATCAAGGCAATTGTGGCCAAACTAAGGGACGGCCAGCTTCACAATGCCTTGCATGCGTTGGGCTGGCTCCTCAACCCCCGCAACCAATACGTGGGGGCGGTGAGGAACGACCGTGAGATCAGGAAAGGGGCGGATGAGGTCATCCAGGCCCGGGGTGTGGACGTCGCTCAACGCACGTCCACGCTCAGCTGGCCCAGTTCCACAAAGGAGAGGGCCGGCATGGCTCCGATGACGCCCGTTGGGCTGCCACGACCTTGGTGGAGGGCGGGCGCCTGACTGACGCGGAATGGTGGTGGATGTACAGTGGGGAGGTCGCGGCGCTTCAAGAGCTGGCTGTGATGAGCCTATCACAGCCAGTGACCTCATCCGAGGTGGAGAGGTACTGGTCCGCGCTTGCAAGTGTGCAGAGGCGGGACCGGAACCGCCTGGCCGCCACCAAGATGACCGACGTCACCTACGTCGCCTTCACGAGGAGGGCTCGTGACGCCTTTGATCGGAGGCAGGGTGTGCGTGAGAAGCTGTATCTTGACCTGAGCAACGGCACCCTCAAGCAGGGCAGCACCATCGCCCCGGTCTCAGCTGAAGAGGAAGAAGGGGGGGCTGGATTAGTGGAGGAGGAGGAGGGGTCTACTACCATCAACTGGGATGAGTTCGGGAGCATTGGCAAGAAGAAGAGGAAGATGAAGGTGGGAGAGTCCTCCAAGAGGAAGAGGAAGGGGAAGGGGAAGGGTAACGTTCCATGCAAGGGAAAGGGGAAGGGAGCAGTAGTGGAGGAAGAGGAGGAGGAGGAGGCGGCAGACAGCAGTGGGGGGGAGGAGGTGGAGACGGGCAAGAAGACCCGTGATGGCAGCGATCCTTGGGATCTCATCGATGGTTCTAGTGGGGAGGAGGAGGAGGAGGAGGAGGAGGAGGAGGAGGAGGAGGAGGAGGAGGAGGAGGAGGAGGAGGAGGAGGAGGAGGAGGAGGAGGAGGATCAGCAGGGTTGAATGGGGGGTAATCGTAGAGATAAGGAGCATGTAGAGGGGAGTAGGATGGCGGGAGGAAGGTGGTAGGGGAGGGCATGTAGAGGGGAGTAGGATGGCGGGAGGAAGGTGGTAGGGGAGGATCAGTAGACTAGAAGAGGAAGTATGGTGGGTAGGATAGAGAGTAGAGGCAGTTTTAGAGTTTCTGAACTTTCTGGAAAAAATATCCCATGCAAAATAACTCTAAAAAAAAACTACCGTATTTTTGAAAAACTGACCGTAAAAAACGGCCCGTTTTTTACGCTGACCGTATTTTTGTTCCTTGATCACCTCGCCCAGTGAAGTTGCTTTGTCCGTCTGGAAGTGGGGGAGTGCGGGGTAAGGAGGAATGAGGGTAGGGAACAGAGGAAAGGAGGATAAAGTGCCCTGCACACGTCTCTCCGCGTGCAGCGCCCGTAGCACGTCCACCACCTCGCCTAGGAGTGTTGCTTTGTCCGTCTGGATAGGGGGAGGAGCGGGGGGGGTTAACAGGGGAGGGGCGGGGTAGGGCATGGGCGGTTGTGGGTACACTGCCTTTCACGTCTCTCCGCGTGCAGCGCCCGCAACACGTCCACCACCTCGCCTAGCAGTGTTGCTTTGTCTGTCTGGATAGGGGGAGTAGCGGGGTAAGGAATGAGGGTAGGGAGCAGGGGGAAGGAGGATAAAGTGCCCTTCACACGCCTCTCCCTCTCTGCGTGCAGCCCTCGCAGCACGTCCACCACCTCGCCTAGGAGTGTCGTTTTGTCCGTCTGGCGGGGAGGAAGTGAGGAACGGGGAGGAGGTTGGGGAGAGAGAGAGGGCAGAACAGGGTGAATGAGGAAGAGTACCCTTCACACACCTTCCTCTCCGCATGCAGCGCCCGCAGCACGTCACGGGGGGTGGGTAGGGAACGGGGGAACGGAGGGGGGGGTGGGGGGTTTGAGGCATGAGAATAGGGAACCCCCTTCTCCGCTTCTCCTCTACCTCCCCCCTTCTCCGCCTTCGGTCTGCCTCTCCCTCTCCTCCGCCTCTCCGCCTCTCTGCCTCTCCCATCTAGTGAGCCCTTTATGAGGCGCCTAAAGAACCGCACCTTGCTAGAGCTTCCGCCTCTCCACCTCTCCGCCTCCCCCCCACTCCCTTCTCCACCTCACCCATCCAGTGAGCCCTTTATGAGGCGCCTTGTGCTGGTTGATGCGCCCCCTGCGCCTCTGCTCCCCCTCTCCGCCTCTCCGCCTCTCCGCCTCTCCGCCTCTCCGCCTCTCCGCCTCTCCGCCTCTCCGCCTCTCTGCCTCTCCCATCTAGTGAGCCTTTTATGAGGCGCCTAAAGAACCGCACCTTGCTAGAGCTTCCGCCTCTCCACCTCTCCGCCTCTCCCCCACTCCCCTCTCCACCTCACCCATCCCGTGAGCCCTTTATGAGGCGCCTAGTGCTGGTTGATGCGCCCCCTGCGCCTCTGCTCCCCCTCTCCGCCTCTCCGCCTCTCCGCCTCTCCGCCTCTCCGCCTCTCTGCCTCTCCCATCTAGTGAGCCCTTTATGAGGCGCCTAAAGAACCGCACCTTGCTAGAGCTTCCGCCTCTCCACCTCTCCGCCTCCCCCCCCCTCCCTTCTCAACCTCACCCATCCAGTGAGCCCTTTATGAGGCGCCTTGTGCTGGTTGATGCGCCCCCTGCGCCTCTGCTCTTCCTCTCCGCCTCTCCGCCTCTCCGCCTCTCCACCTCTCCACCTCTCCCATCTAGTGAGCCTTTTTTGAGGCGCCTAAAGAACCGCACCTTGCTAGAGCTGGGCAGGAGCGCACGCAGCGTCGCGAGGTGCTGGTTGATGCGCTCCCTGCGCCGCCGCTCCGCCTCGCTGTGCGAGCGCGACTGCGCCAGCGCCTTCGCCTCCATCTCCGCCATCGACGCGCGCGCCGCCTCCCCGCCCCCGCCGTAAAACGCGGAGATGTCGACTGAAGACCAGCGGAAGAGGAGAGGAGGGAGGTGGGAAGGGGTGCGTGGAGAGGAGGCGGGGGAGGAGAAGAGGGAGGTGGGGAGGGGTGCGACGTCTGTGTATCCAAAATAAGGGGCACCTAGCTAGCAAATGAAACCGCCAACACGAAACCCGCTACATTCCAAACACGCTTAGAAAATCGGCTGAGCCTCACATTCGCTCTTTTAAAAATCTGCGAATTACTCTCACGTACCTCATGGTAAATGGTACAGGCGCTTAGAAAATCACTACACACAATAGCTAGGATCTACCCTCACGTACCTCTTGGGAAATTACATAGGCGCTTCGAACATTGCCCCACACGGAAGCTCCAATTCACTCTCATGCGTACTGCTTGAGGAGATTCTTAGGCACTTCAAGGAAAGTCTCACACAGAAGCTACTTGTCACTCTCACACGCGCGTACCTCCTGCGAATCCTCCCGCCAGTTGCGCTCCCCCCAGCAATGCCGCCTGCTGCCCCGCCAGTTCTTGCAGCAGGAGAAAGTCCGCCTGCTGCTGCGCCGCTGCGCCCCCGCCCATTCGGAAATCCCCCTGCTGCTGCGCAGCCGCCCTTCCGCCCATCAGAAACTCCGCCTGCTGCTGCTGCTGCTGCGCCGCCCCCCCGCCCATTCGGAAATCCGCCTGCTGCGCCGCCGTCCCCCCTGCCAGGAGAAACTCCGCCTGCTGCTGCGCCCCTCCGACACCGAACCTTCCCCCGTCCCCGTTCAGCTGCACGGCTGCGCCCATTCCTCCCCGCGCGCCCGACAGAGCTCCCCCTGCCCCTCCCCCGAGCCCGCTACGACGCGCAGTAGCGCTGCTAGCAAGCGCGCTCCGCATCGCGGCTGTAGCGGCTGTAGCCGCCGCCGCCGCCGCCGCCGCCGCCGCCGCTGCAGTGCCAGCGGCATTGGTGCTCGCAACGGGATTCCCGCTGCTCCTGAGTGGAAGCTTCCCCGAAGCTACCGCTGCAGCTAGACTCGCGTCGTCCATGCCCAATAAATCGTTGACACAGGCACCTGCCGTGCCAGCCATAAGGCTCGGGCCCAAACCTGCAACCAGGTTCGGCACCAAATCTAATCCATTCGACCGGAGAAGATCAACACGGACGGACCTACTAGCGCCCGAGCCAGCTGCTCCTAACCCTAAAGAATTATGTACATCAGGTGCTGCTGACGTGGCAAGAGTTTCTACGGGCGAACCGGACAAAGCGCGACGGTTTCCTCCCGCAAAGGACGCCGCGCGTTGCTGCTGCTGCTGCTGCTGCTGCTGCTGCTGCTGTTGTTGTTGGTGCTGCTGCTGCTGTTGTTGTTGGTGCTGCTGCTGCTGCTGCTGTTGTTGGTGCTGATGCTGCTGCTGCTGCTGCTGCTGCTGCTGCTGCTGTTGTTGGTGCTGATGCTGCTGCTGCTGATTGTGCTGTTGATCGAGCGCCGCTAGAGCAGCCATCGGATCGTTCATGCTCGCGCAGAGAAACGCGAGCGACTGCGAGTCCGTGCCTCCAGTCCACGACATGGTGTAACTAAGTTGAACGAAAAGATTCCGCCTACTGACGACGAGTTCAAAGGTCCCCAACAGCCGAAAAAAAACGCAGCCGAGTAGGGCGATGACAGAAAGACTCACATGGGCCTCTATAGGCTCACTGTAAAGCGACAGCACGCGTACACGGTCATACGGTTAAGCGTCTAGGCAACTACGCGATTACTATGGAAAAAATAGGAAAACGAGAAATCGTGAAGTAACTCAACTAGTTCCAGGAGAAGCGAAAATTGACCGAGCGCGTAGACATAGTCAGTACAGAGGGCAGAGCTTCAAAACGATTATACACAACACAGTGATACATCGACGTCTCCTAGAATCTGACACTACCTAGAAACTGACATCTACGATTCTACGAATTAGTGCCGTGGAGGATTTACGCGTTCGAATTGAATGCATGTCCAACAGACACACAGACTTACACGCAATGGACTGTACGTCGTAAGTTGACACCCATGTACGTCGTGAGTTGAGTTACTTCACGGATGTAACGACCGATGAAGTTGACCGGTGAAGCACATTCACTCGGTACGTACGCACATGCTAGAAAGGAAACGTTGGCTTGGCAGACACAACAGACCATGCTGGCGAGCTGCATGCGTTGAACTGATTCTGCATGGGCATGTCTTGGGGGGGGCGGGTGGGTTGGGTTTGGTTTGGGATACTGGGAGCGATAAGATCAAGGCTCCGGAATAGAGATTGTGGGAGTGGGAAAGTGTGGAAGAGGGTTGATGGGGGGAAAGGTGTGGATGGAGAGTTTTGGTGGGGCAAGTGGCTGGTGGAGGTCGGACGGTGGTGGGGTGAATGGGGAATAGAGAGTGGTTGAGGAGGGTGGGTGAGGGTTACGGGGAATGAGGGAATGAAGTGACGTGTCTCTGCAGAAAACCTAGGGAGATTCATGAGAAATGACGCGGCTGGTGGGGAGTTTCCGCTGTACGTGAATGGTGAGACAAATGGCCCAGCGGCCCACCCGACCGAACCGAACCCGCGCCTGTCACACCATCTCCCCCAGCCCCCAAACCAACGCCCCAAGCTGTGTACAAATGTTCTTGCTTTTAGTCTCACTAAAAAACACGCGCGGCGCGGGACTATGGTGAAAACTCTCGAAACCCCAGGCAAAGGGGAACTTATAGTCCAACTGGGCGGGTATTTTCGCCGTCACTCATGGTGTTTGGTACGGCGTCAGCCGGTGTTTTCTGGCGACAAGGAGTTACTACCAGTTCGCATGAAATGAAACGCCCACCTCGTGCGACACACGGTACTTTTCATCAACAATTAACGCAATTCGTAACACAAAGTGGGCATTCAAATAAACTTTCATTAAAGAGTACTGATACAAAGACACATGCAAGCAGAGAATCAAACCGAACTGAAACCAGAGTTGCTTCTCGTTCCAAACAAAAAACACATCCCAACATATTCACGCATTCCGCTCAACCACAGCACACTCACGCATTTCGAGCATCCAAGCACAGACAGACACAACACATTCACGCGCATTTCACCCAACCACATCACACTCGAACGCATTTCACACATAACAAGCACACGCAGAGACACATCGCACTGACATTCGCAGGCACAAAAGCACCCGCAAGCACATTAGCCACAGCATGCACATCCGATGTCAAACAAGAGAGAAACATTCAGCACTCGCCGACGATCATCACAACGGCATACCTTCCACACACAGATTTGCAGCAGAATAGCCCCGGAAATTCGACTCTTACTAGAATATCAGAAACTCCAGTTGTAAAGGACTCTCCTCTACTTTGCAGGAACTGGGAATTGTTCGAATCAGTAGAGCACTCTGTTAGCTTTCCAACGAGCCGTAGATCACCTCGATCACTAACGTGAAAGCTGTCAGAATCCCAGTCACTAGACCACTGGGATAAAATGGCTTGTTAAGTAGCGGGTCATAGTGCGCCCATAACCCCCCAGGCGAACGTGTCTGTAACCCCCCTAGGATCAATCGGGCATCCACAGTGCAGATCTACTGACACCCTGTGAGAGAATTGACGAAAGAATGATTGAACTAGGAATGAGGTGGATACAAATAGACAACACATAAGTGTTGTACCTTCTAGGAACTACCCCACTACAGCCTAAATAGACTATAGCAGATATAAGTTTGACACACCCCCATAGGCAAAGTGGGGGAGAACAAGAGGTCACAAGACCAGTCAAGAAAAGCAAAGCAAGCTCAGGGTGGATCACAAAGTCACCACACAGTCTGAGCACAAGCAAAGGACCATAAGGCCAGTTCACATGCAGAGTTATATAAAGGAAAGCAAACAATACAGTGAACACAACCTAGCAAGGGTAAGCATGCAGGTATAAGTATATAGAGTACAGTACAAGCAGAGTCAAGAAGTCAACAAGTGAGGCACAGTAGGTACAAGGCCTAACACAGTACACAAACGCTGATGATCACAAGGCTGAAGTGCCTTGGTGAAAACATCAGCAGTGTTGGCCTGAGAGGCCACGTAAGCAAGACGAAGCTGGCCACGCTGCTGCAACTCTCGAGCAAGGAAGTAGCGCAGAGCAATGTGCTTCGTTCTGTGCTCCAGTCTGTGCTCCTGACACAAGGCCAGCATGGCCTTGTTGTCGACGTACAGAACTGGAGGAGAACGAGGCGCCTCTCCCAAGTCGGTCAGCAGGTAGGTGAGCCAGCGAAGCTCCTGTGCAGCCATGGCCCCAGCGTAGATCTCAGCCTCACAACTGGAGCTGAGAACAGAAGAAGAGCGGGTAGACCGCCAGGAGACAGAACCGGAGCCAAGGCTGAAGGTGTAACCCTGAGACGACCGTTGCGTAGCCAAGTCGTCAACTCAGGAGGCGTCAGCGTGACCAGTGAGGACAACTCGAGCCCGTCCTCCAAGCACGAGCCCCATGCCCGATGTACTGCACAAGTATCGCAACACCCTCTTCGCAGCATCCCAGTGTACCTTTCGGTGCCTACCGGGAGCCACGTAGCGAGCCAGAAGGCTGAGAGGGTATGCGAGGTCAGGTCGTGTGCAAGTCATCAGGTACATGAGGCAGCCCACAAGCTCTGGATACGGGCCACTCGGCTCTACGGACTCGTCCGAAGGTGGAGCTGAGAGTGACCGGTAGGCAGAGGAGTGGACTGTGGCGAGGAGTAGGTGAAGCCGAAGCGCTGAAGGACCTGCTGCACCATGTGTGACTGAGTCAAGGTAATGGTGCGCTGTGCTCTGTCCCGGGTGTCAGAACATTATATAGCTTATGCTGTTGTGTAGGCTATAGTGGGGTATCCCATAAGGGGTACAACCCAATTAGGGTTTCCTATTTGTACTCACTTCATTTCATAGTTCACCCATTCTCGTTCTTCATTTTCACATGGAATCAGAGCAGGTCCCCTCCTAGGGACTGCTTCTAGGGCCCACCGAAGCGCGCCCCGAGGCGCGTTTTCCTTTTTTTTTAGCGACCCTCCGTGTCGCCCCTTGCGGCCCCGCCGCCCTCCCTTCGCGGCCCCGCCACCCTACTAACGCGGCCCCGCCGCCCTTCCTTCGCGGCCCCGCCGCCCTGCTCGCGCGGCCCAGCCGCCCTCTGCTTCGCGGCCCCGCTGCCCTGCTCACGCGGCCCCGCCGCCCTCTGCTACGCGGCCCCGCCGCCCTGCTACAGCGGCCCCGCCGCCCTCACGTCGCGGCCCGCCCGCCCTCTGCTTCGCGGCCCCGCCGCCCTGCTCACGCGGCCCCGCCGCCCTGCTCACGCGGCCCCGCCGCTCTCTGCTAAGCGGCCCCGCCGCCCCACTACAGCGGCCCCGCCGCCCTCACGTCGCGGCCCGCCCGCCACCCTACCTGCGGCCCGCCCGCCGCCCTACCTGCGGCCCGCCCGCCGCCCTACCTGCGGCCCGCCCGCCGCCCTACTTGCGGCCCTACCGCCGCCCTCCCTGCGGCCCGCCCGCCGCCCTACTTGCGGCCCTACCGCCGCCCTACCTGCGGCCCGCCCGCCGCCCTCCTTGCGGCCCTACCGCTGCCCAACCTGCGGCCCTACCGCCGCCCTACCTGCGGGAGCCGCCTAGCAGCAGAACCGCCGGGAGCCAAGCCGCCCTGCCGCCGAGCCGCCCGGGAGCCGAGCCGCCCTGCAGCCGAGCCGCCCGGGAGCCGAGCCGCCCTGCCGCCGAGCCGCCCGGGAGCCGAGCCGCACTGCCGCCGAGCCGCCCAACAGCCGAGCCGCCCAGCAGCCGAGCCGCCCTGCCGCCGAGCCGCTGAGCAGCCGAGCCGCCCTACTGCCGAGCCGCCCGACCTGCCCTGTCCGGTGAGCACAGCCCCACTGTCACTGCGTGCCCTTCCCCTACTGCTTGCACTGCTCGTCTGTCGTCGTCATGGCTACCCCTAGTGTCCTCGCTTTTGACGCTGAGGGTCGAGCCATTGACTTTGAGGTCTGGGTCGACGACCTGCAGCTGTTCTTACAGTGCGATAGGGCGGACGGTCTTTCCCTCTTTGACCTCACCTCTGGCGCCTCTCCTGCCCCTGCTACTG